GCGATCCCGATGTTCGTGCTGGCCGGGGCGATCATGAACGCCTCGGGCATCTCGCGCCGGCTGATCGCGTTCGCTTCGGCGCTGCTCGGCTTCATCAAGGGCGGGCTGGCGATGATCAACATCGGCGTGTCGATGTTCTTCGCCGAAATCTCCGGCTCGGCGGTGGCGGACGTGGCGGCGACCGGCTCGATCCTGATCCCGGCGATGAAGCGGCGCGGCTACCCCAAGGCCTTCGCCGCCGCCGTCACCTCCTCCTCGGCCTCGCTGGCGATCATCATCCCGCCGTCGATCCCGATGATCCTCTACGGCGTGATGGCCGATGCCTCGATCGTGCAGCTCTTCGTCGCCGGCGTGGTGCCCGGCGTGCTGGGCGGCCTGGCGCTGATGTCGATCTCCTACGTGCTGGCGCGCCGGCTCGGCTGGCCGGTGGAGGAGGTCTTCCAGGTCGCGCGGGTCTGGACCACCTTCAAGGAGTCCTTCGCGGCGCTGTTCCTGCCGATCATCATCCTCGGCTCGATCTTCGGCGGCATCGTCACCGCCACCGAGGGCGCCGGCCTGGCGGTGGTCGCGGCGCTGTTCATCGGCGGCGTGGTCTACCGCGACCTCAACTGGTCCTTCCTGCGCGCCGCGCTGCTCGACGGCGCCATGCAGACGGCGGTGGTCATGCTGCTGGTCGCCGCCTCGGCGCTGGTCGGCGTCTATCTGACCGAGCAGCAGTTGCCGCAGCAGCTCGCCCGCTGGGTGCTGTCGATCACCCAGGATCCCACCGCGATCCTGGCCATGCTCAACGTCTTCTTCCTGATCATCGGCCTGTTCCTGCACTCGGCGGCGGCGATCATCCTGGTGGTGCCGGTGGTGGTGCCGCTGATCTCCATGGTCGGCATCGACCCGGTGCACTTCGGCCTGATCGTCTGCCTCAACCTGGCGATCGGCCAGCAGACCCCGCCGGTCGCCAGCGTGCTGATCACCGCCTGCTCGATCGCCCGGGCCAACGTCTGGGAGGTCAGCAAGGCGAACATCTGGTTCGTCGGCGTGCTGCTGACGATCCTGCTGCTGGTCACCTACGTGCCGGCGGTGCCGATGACCCTGGTCGAGATCTTCTACCGCTAAGGAGTCCCATGTCCTCGCTCGCTTCGAGCGCCGCCGACGAGACCGTCCTGGTCGAGCGCGACGGCGCGATCGCCACCGTCCTGTTGAACCGCCCGCACAAGCTCAACGCCCTGACCAAGCCGATGTGGGCCCGGCTCGGCGCCGTGCTGCGCGAGCTGGACGCCGACGAGAGCCTGCGCTGCGTGATCCTGCGCGGGGCCGGGGAGAAGGCCTTTTCCCCCGGCAACGACATCTCCGAGTTCGAGACCGAGCGCGCCAACCCGCGCCAGGCCAAGGACTACGGCCGGCTGATGCACGGCACGCTCGGCGCGCTGCGCGCGCTGCGCCATCCGACGATCGCGCGGATCCACGGCATCTGCGTCGGCGGCGGCATGGAGATCGCCGGGCTCTGCGACCTGCGGGTCTGCGGCGAGTCGAGCCGCTTCGGCGCGCCGATCGCCCGGCTCGGCCTGGTCATGGCCTATCCGGAGATCGAGGCGCTGCGCGACCTGGTCGGCAAGCAGACGGCGCTGGAGATCCTGCTGGAGGGGCGGATCTTCGGTGCGGCGGAGGCGCTGGACAAGGGGATCGTCACCCGCGTGGTCGAGGACGCGCGGGTCGGCGACGAGGTGGCCGAGACCGCCGCGCGGGTGGCCGCCGGCGCGCCGCTGGTGGCGCGCTGGCACAAGAAGTTCCTGCGTCGCCTGGAGGACCCCGCGCCGCTCAGCGAGGCCGAGTTCGACGAGGGCTTCGCCTGCTACGGCACCAAGGACTTCGAGATCGGCTACAGGGCCTTTCTCGCGAAGACCGAACCCGAGTTCGAGGGGCGGTGAGCGGGATGCAGTCGCAAGTGCCACAGGCGAAGGGTCCGCTCGACGGCATCAAGGTGGTCGAGCTGGCGCACATCATGGCCGGGCCGGTCTGCGGCCTGATGCTGGCCGACCTCGGCGCCGAGGTGGTCAAGGTGGAGAAGGTGCCGGGCGGCGACGACACCCGCCGCATGGTGCCGCCGGAACAGGGCGGCGAGTCGGCCGCCTACATGATGGTCAACCGCAACAAGCGCGGCATCGCCCTCAACCTCAAGGAGCCCGAGGGCGTGGCCGCGCTGCGCCGGCTGCTCGAGGGCGCCGACGTGGTGGTGGAGAACTACCGCAAGGGCACGATGGAGCGGCTCGGCCTCGGCTACGAGGCGCTGAAGGCGGTCAATCCCGGCCTGATCTACGTCGAGCTCTCCGGCTTCGGGCGTAGCGGACCCTACGCGGAGCGCGGCGGCTTCGACCTGATCGCCCAGGGCATGAGCGGGCTGATGTCGATCACCGGCGAGGGCCA